ATGGCGCCTTGCGCTTGCCCTTGCCCTTGCCCTTGCGCTTCTTGCGCTTGCCCTTGGCTACATGCACATGCTGCTCTTGTCCGTCTTCAGAGCCCTCATCTGCAGAAGAATGCAGTGGCGCGGATGGTTTCGTCTTATCCTTCTTGGTCTTGTTGGTGCTGGCGCACTCCTGCGGAGATGGCCCTGTAGGTGGACACGCCGCCAGCTCGGCCAGAGCTGATGCCGTCAGCGGAACGGCCCCAGGTGTCGTGGTGGCACTCGTAGACGACTTGAATCCGAACAGCTTGCGCTCCAAGTCATCTTCGCTGCTCACGGCGTCGTCTAAGCGAACCTCCTCGGCTTTCTCGTCGTCGCTGATCTCGACCGTGACGATGTTTTTTTGGGGAATCGGCACAACGGTCGGGACGTCCTGCTTGTGCGAGAGCCTGCGATTGCCACCGTCGTTCTTCACGAGCTTCATCATGTCCATGAGGATCTGGAGTTGGCCGTAGTTTCGAGGGGCATCTTGATCGCGACGCTTCCTGTCAAGAAGAGTCGACAGCATCGTGCGGAGGTTCAGCACGCACCTCTCTATTTCTGTAGGCGTCCATTGCAGACCCTTGCCAGCAATCCACTTCCTGAACTGGCGGTTGAGCGAAACCTGGTGAGGAATGAGCCCATGTGAAGTCATGAGAATCGCGTGGAGCTCATCGAACGCCTTCTTCAAGGCTGGCCAATCAGATGTCATCCCATGCGCTGTCAAGCGCGATAAACACCACAGCTTGTCTGGGGTGCATTGCGACATCTTGATGTGTGAATCGAAGATGCGCTCAGCATCGTCATCTCCGAGGTCGCAACCAGGGGTCCGAAGGGCTGCCATGCTGAGCCAAAGTGGCTATGCAAGAACACGGTGGCATCATTTTTTTTTTTGGGGGGGGGGGGAGGGGCATTTGCGTGCGTGTGGTGTGGTGTGGTCCAGGCATCACAGGAAAGAGAACGTTCAGGCCAAAGCACTCCCCCCCCTTTAGAAACTTCTGACCAACATGGGCAGCGTGGGCAGAAACAAACTTCAAAGACACACGCACAACGCAAACCATTGGCAGTCACACACCAAAATCAGGACAGCCCAGGGAACTCTGGGACGGAGGGGGATTTGGGTTTCGGATTTGGAATGGATTTCCCAATCAATCGTTACGCAGAAAATGTGCGTGTCACCCGTTACGGCGTGGCCTCCGATTTCTTAGGACACGGAGCGTTCACGACTGAAATGTGGCTCCTCCTCCAAAATGGGGCTCTCGCCTTGGGGCCTCTTACGGCCTCTTGGGGCCTACGAGCCTCTCAGGGCATCTTGGGGCCTGTGGGTCTCTTGGGGCCACATGGGGCGTCCTTCCACTCTCCTGAGGGCCTCTGATGGCAAGGATGCGGACCCTATGACAATTGGAACCCATGATGGCAAGGATGCTGACCTTATAGCGATTGCGTGCTTCAGTGCAGATTGCAATGAATATTGCATTGGTGATCCAACTGTTTTTATCAGTGCACGCATCGCTGCACGTCCCAATAGCATAGTTCATCCAATCGCTTCGTCCCCACGCCGTCGGCGGGGAAAAAACAACAGCCTTCGCGTCTCCACGCCACTGGTGGGAAAAATACAGGCTTCGCACTCGCATGATGAGCCGCTCCCTCACTCAGGCCGCGCCGCGCTTAGGGAAAGCCTGCTCCAAGGGCCCAGCGGTCGACTCCGCCAACTTGCGCTCGAGTGCCTCGACCTTTTTCTCCAGCCAAAGAGTCTTGGTATCCGTGGGCACCGCTGGACTGCCGATCCACCCACAAGGACGGGTCCTTCTGCTTCCAGCCGTAGTGCACCCAGGAGTTCGGATCGCCAGCCTTCCACGGGACCTGGTAGGGGGCGCCATCCTTCTCGATCAGGAGCGTCTCCTCGCCCGTCTCCAGCTTCATGATGATCGCCTGCTCGTCGCTCTGGGGCTCGTTGTAGTTCTTGTCGCTGGTCACGTCGACTGTCTGGTTCGCCTTGACGTTGATGAAGCCGTGCTGCTTGCTGAGCTCATCGATCATCTTCGTGAGCGAGTCGATCTGGTCCTTTAGCTGATACTCGTACTCCGCCTTGGCCATCTGGTCCTTGACGTTGTCCGCCTTGCCATGCTGCGCGCGCACCAGGCTGAGCTGGGGCATGCGCTTGTGATCCTGCAGCGTGGCAATCTCGCGGGAGATGCCAGCGCCGACGTCCTTCAGGACAAAGGCCGTGCTCTGAAGGTTGACCTCCGCCCTCCTCATCACATGCTCGTAGTTGCCGACGATGCTGCTCTGAAACGGGTCGCCTGGGACAACGCCGCGGAAGTGGCCTTGCGTCGATGCCATGAGGGCTCGGGGTCGAGCCCCGAGAGAACGAAGACGAAGCCTCGAGGGAACGAAGATGAAGCCTCGAGGTCGTCGAAGCCCCGAGGAAGAATCCGTTGGCTCGAGCCCGAGACGCTACTGTCGAACGTTGGGTTTCTTGTTGCCCACTCTCACGTTTCGTGACCCAAGATACCCAGGACACCCAATATACACAATATACAAAATATACCCCAAATACCCCAGGTACCCCAAGATACCCCAGACACCCAAGCCACCCCAGACACCCAAGGCCCCAAGATACTTTCAATATAGCGAAGATCCGCTCGGACCCGTAATTTGGATCCCCGTGGCATTTTTAAAGGAAAACCATATCTCTTACGGGTTTTCGCTATCTTTTTGAAGGATTTATGTGTTTTACAGGTGGTTTTTAAAGGATTCCGCTTGATTCTAAAGTTATTCTTTAAAAAGCAACCGTAAAATCATAAGAAACCGCAAGAAAGTAAAGAAACCGCAAGATAATGAAGGTGTTGATGGTCGGGGAAAGATCTGGACCGGGCGGGGTCCGGACCGGGCCCGGGTCGGACAGGGAGGGGTCCGGACCAGGTCACGCGCAGGTCCCGAGTTCCAGGTTCCGGACCCGAGTCCCGGGTTCCGCTCCGGTCCCGGGTGCCGGGTCCCGGGTCCCGCACCGGTCCCGGGTCTCGACTCCCGTGTTGGTCCCGGGTGGCGGCTGCCGCGCCGGTCTTGGCGCTCCGGTTCCGGATCCCGCGCCGGTCCCGGGTCCCGAGTCCCAGGTCTCGCGCCGGTTTGAGTCCTGGGTTCCGCTCCTTCTCCCAGGTCCAGGTCCCGGGTCCCGCGCTGGTCCCGGGTCTCGCGCCGGCCGGTCCCGGGTCCTGGAGTCCGGGGCCGGTTTGAGTTCCGGGTTCTGCGCCAGTCCCAGGTCCGTGTCCCGGGTCCCGCGCAGGTCCCGGGTCCGGGTGCCGCGCCGGTCCCGGGTCGTGGGTCCCGGGTCTCGCACCGGTCCCGGGTCCCGGGTCCCGCGCTGGTCTCGGGTGCCGGGTTCCAGGTCGCGCGCCTGTCCCGGGTTTGGGGGGCCGTGCTGGTGCCGAGTGGCGGCTGCCGCGCTGGTCCGGGCGTCCCGGTCCTGGATCCCGCGCCGGTGCCGGGTCCGGAGTCCCGGGTTCCGCGCCGGTTTGAGTCCTGGTTCCGGGTCCCGATTCCCGCGCTGGTCCCGGGTCTCGTGCCGGTCCCGGGTTCGGGTCCCGCGCTCGTTCCGGGTCCCGGGTCCGCGCTCGTTCCAGATCTCCTGTTCCGCGCCGGTCTCTGGGCTCGTCCCGGTTCCGGGTTCCGGGTCCCACGGCGGTTGTCCTGGCCGGGTCCCGGGTTCCGTTCCGGTCCCCGGGTCGGACCTCGCGCCGGTCGGGTCCCCAGACGATCCCGGGTGCCGCAGCAGGTCCCGGGTCCCGCGCCGGTCCCGGGTCTTGGGCTCCGCGCCGGTCCCGGATCGCGGGTCCCGGGGCCGGGGCGGGAAAAACGTCAGCCCGCGTCAGCTCGCGTGAACCCCCCCCCCTCGCCAGAGCGGGTCCCGCGCCGGTGCCAGGTCCTGGGGCTCGCGCCGGTTCCGGGTCCCGGGTCTTGCGCCCCTCCCGAGTCCCGGGTCCGGCGATCGTCTCGGCCGAGTCCCGGGTTCCGCTCCGGTCACGGGTCCCGGGTCGCGGGTCCCGGGTCCCGAAGCCGGAAAAACGTCAGCTCGCGTCAGCCCCCCCCCCCCTCGCCAGAACGAGTCCCGGGGCCGGAAAAACGTCAGCTCGCGTCAGCTCGCGTCAGCCCCCCCCCCTCGCCAGAGCGAGTCCCAGGGCCGGAAAAACGTCAGCTCGCGTCAGCCCCCCCCCCCCTTCGCCAGAGCGAGTCCCGGGGCCGGAAAAACGTCAGCTCGCGTCAGCTCGCGTCAGCCCCGCCCCCCCCCCCCCTCGCCAGAGCGAGTCCCGGAGCCGGAAAAACGTGAGCTCGCGTCAGCTCGCGTGAGCCCCCCCTCCCCCCTCGCCAGAGCGAGTCCCGGGGCCGCAAAAACGTCAGCTCGCGTCAGCTCGCGTCAGCCCCCCCCCCTCGCCAGAGCGAGTCCCGGGGCCGGAAAAACGTCAGCTCACGTCAGCTCGCGTCAGCCCCCCCCCCCCTCGCCAGAGCGAAGCTTGAGCGAGCTCAAGCCCACGCTCTCAGGAACTCACACGCCGGATCGGCGGATTTGGTTGTGTGTCCTGGGGCCCCCTTACATGCTCAAACGATGCAGCAGAAAAGGTGAGATCTGGGGCTCGGGCTGCGATTTTTCGCGGCGTCGTGCCTTTCTTGCAGGCTCGGATCTCGGGGGAGAGGCCGGTGCCGCTGCTCGTCCTGGAGAGCCCTCGTTGCCACGGCTGGACTCCCTCGAGGTTGGGGCGCACTCCTCGGGGAGGCCTGGCGAGTGGCTGTGCTGTCGGAGGTTGGCAGACCTGCCCTGGCACGTCGATGAGCGAATTGGCCGTTTCCGGTTCGCGAGGGGGCGTCGCGGCCGTCCTTTTTGCGGGTCCAGGTCCGTCGGTTTCGGTCCCAGGCCGTTTTCACGAAAGGGTGGTTTACTAAAGGGAGGTTTGTCCACCGCCGATACTGGTATCTATTTGGTTTCCCAGGTGCGCCGTCTTTGGAGAGGCCTCCAGGAGTTTTCACCCTTCCGGCCGCCTGTACTCACGCATGGCCCTGCCAGCCTGTCGTGGTCTCTCGGATGCACCTGTGAGGGCGGAGACGAGCGGGGGCGCTCGAGCTCGTCTGCAGCAGATCAGCTTCGCCAAATTGGAACTTACCGCTAGTGCTTACGCATGGCTAGCTGCGACCTGTGAGATGAAGTTGTGACGTCGGACTGAGCGGGGTGTGCCGAATTTGTTTGCTGTGGATCAGCTTCGCCAAGCCAGACATGGCCGCGCTTGCTAACGCAAGGCCAGGCTGGTTTGTCGTGGTCTCTCGGATGGACCTGTGACGACGGAGACGAGCGGGCATGGGCGCTATGCTTAGCTGGTCTTGGCCGCCTGTGCTAACGCAGGGCCAGCCAGCCTGTGGCCTATTGGATGAACCTGTAAGGGCGGAGCTGAGCGGTGTTGCGCGAATTCGTTTGCTGCGGATTAGCGCCACTTCCTTGGAAGGGGGAGAGGAGGTGGTGGCAAGCTATTTGCGCTCGCGCCATATCTGACATACATTCCACTCCTACTCATCCCTTTCCATTGCGCTGTCTTTTCGCTATCCGCTGACGGGTGTCATAGAGGACCTGGAGCCCCCCAAAGAAGCCCGTTGTGCCGTGCGCAACAACGAAAGGGGAGCTGCGTACATTAGAGGAGGAGGTGGCGGATTAGCAGGAGGACGAGCAGGATCGGGATGATGATGATGAGGAGGAGGAGGAGGAGAAAGATCATGATGAGGCAGGAGGAGGACGAGGACGAACAGCAGCCGTATAAGCAGGATGACCAGGGGAAGGGGAAAGGATCGGGGCAACAACGACGAGGAAGCACTCGGATCCAGAAAAGTGGCCCGCGCTGGGTTCAGAACGCCAGAGTGATCGATGGGAACAATTCGCCAATCCGAAGATGAGGCCAGCGCTGCAGCGGGAGCACCGTTTTGAGACATCGAAAACGTTCCGATTGAAACACATTATAGGAAGCATCACTGTTTGAACTCCTGTGCGTACGAAAACAATACGCGGAGAGGGCGGGACAACTTCCACACAGAAAGGGATAGTAGTACCCATAGTGAGTAGTTGAAGAATTTACACATTACCATTGGAGAGAGCCCCGACCAGATGCTCGCCGCAAACACGCAAATGCCGCATGCTGGTGGCGGGCGAGAGCATTGTATGACAGATCTGGTCGTCTCTTCTCTCCCCTCCTTACTCCGTGCTCTCGACTTTCTGTTCTCTAAACTCTGCTCGCTGATGTCTACACTGTGCAGCCCCACTACATATTATCTCTAGCCTTGACTGCCTGCCCTCTACTCGTTACTATACTTCCTGCTCTCTGCCCTCTCTACTCTCGCCTCTCCATTGTCTGCTCTCTACTAAATGTTTCACCCTTTTCTTTCGGCACTCTGAGTTCTGCTCCGTGCCTAACTTCTAGCGCTACTCTTTACCCTCTACTCTCAACTCTATCCTCTGCTTTCTGCCCTCTTGTCTTTACTCTGCTTTCTACTTTCTTCTCGTTGCGCTCTACTCTTTACTCTCCGCACTTTCCGCCGTTTGTCTAGTCTGTCTGTGATCTCAAGTCCCTGGGAGCCTGTCAGCAACCAGTAGAGGAGAGACCCAGGACCCAAGAGCCCAGAACCCTAGAATCGGAAGCCAGGGAGCCCCGCCGCTTTCCGAAATCGCCGGCCGACTTTCACCAGATCTTTTTATATCCTTTTGGGCCCCTTCAGTGCAAGCACTAGTTGGTGAGTTCGGGAGAGAGAAGGGGACCTGCAGGTGGAGGAGGATGGGGATCAGGACCACGCGGTGTGCACGCTGTGTGCACGTTGTGTGCACATCGATCGGCAACTGCTTGTTTTTGCAGTCGTATTGCGCTCAGCCATGCCGATCTGAAAGGCTCGTGCCTCCACTATGATCAAGACTTGTCGTTGGTGATTCCTCACATGGTTTCCCAATGGCGTCTTATTTTTCCTTCTTGAGGCGCCGCCGGGGGGTTTCAGGGCCGATCCAAGAGATCTGCACATTATGCCACTAATTCTCCCTCGATCTTCCCTCTTTTCATCATCCCTACTGTCCCTCCCAGTCGGTGCGCTCTCAAGACGGTGCTGCTTTTGCCTCCGAAAGCTAGCCTGACATGCAGGCTTGTCGGCTTTCTTTTCGTGCCTGGTATGGCCTGAGCTTATAAGGCCTTTTGTAAGATATATGCCTCCACATTCGACTCCGTAGCAGTCCTCCAGATTGATTTCGGAGATCGCCCGCGGAGGTCGCGGCGGCCGCACATAGCGGCAAGGCTTTTGTCACGGAGTGGCATGCCTTCTCCGAGCCCTTTCTGCACCTGGCTGGGCCCCCCCGCCCGGGGACCCAGGGCGCATGAAGCGTGAAGCGCAAATCTATCGAGTCTGAGCGAACACTCTCCGACCGAGTTTAGCTCGTTCGAGTCGGCAGTCGTGACGCGTATTCGAGACGGCGTAAGTTTGAACCTGCATGCTTCTGTTTGTCCTGCGCTTCACACAACCGACCGAATCTCGGTCGGATTGAGCTCTTGTCCAGACTGGCCTGACTCAGCCCCACATACGGAGGAGTATTGCCCGAGACGTACCCGACCCCTTCTCCACGCGAGGCGAACTTTTGTAGGAACGCTCCATACAAAAGAAGACATCGCCAGATATTCACGATCTGCGCTGCCCTCACCTCCGCCGTACCTCCCAGGAGCCCCAGAAAGTGTTGACAGGTGCGCAGTTTGCGGCACCCAAGCGAGCGGCGAGGTCTCAAATGGATCTGCGCTGCCCTCACCTCCGCCGTGCCTCATAGGAACCTTAAAAGTGTTGACCGTGGCGCAGTTCGCAGCCGCCCAGGGAGCAGCGAGGTCTCAGATATGACTATCTGCGCTGCCCTCACCTCCGCCGGGCCTCTCAGGAGCGCACGAATGTGTTGACAGGTGCGCAGTGCGCAGCCTCGCAGGGAGCAGCGAGTTCCCCAGTGGATACGCGCGCCCCCAGTCTCCGCTGGACCTCACAGGAGCCCACGGAGGTAGTGCCATGTGCGCATGCCGTATCCACCCGAGGGAGCAGCGAGGTCCCAAACGGGTTGGACCTCCCATGAGCCCATGAAGGTGTTGACAGGTGCGCAGTTCGCAGCCTCCCAGGGAGCAGCGAGGTCCCCAATGGATCCGCGTGGCCCCCGACTCCGCTGGACCTAGCAGGAGCCCACGAAAGTGTTGACAGGAACGCAGTTCGCAGCACCCGAGGGAGCTGCGAGGTCTTCACTGGATCTACGCTGCCCTCACCTCCGCCGTGCCTCCCATGAGCCCACGAAAGTGTTGACAGGTGCGCAGTTCGCAGCCTCCCCTCCCAGGGAGCAGCGAGGTCCCCAATGGATCCGCGTGGCCCCCGACTCCGCAGGACCTCCCATGAGCCCACGAAAGTGTCGACAGGAGCGCAGTTCGCAGCCACCCAGGGCGATGTCCTCAATGGATCCGCGTGCCCCCCGATTGCGCTGGACCTCCCATGAGCCGACGAAAGTGGCGACATGTGCGCGGTTGGCAGCCTCCCAGGGCGCAGCGAGGTCCACAATGGATCTGCTTGGCCCCCGACTTCGCTGGACCTCCCAGGAGCCCACGAAAGTGTTAACAGTTGCGCAGCTCCAGCCGACCAGAGAGCCACGAGCAAGGGAAGCAGGCAGGCAGCGGCAGCGGCAGCGGCAGCGGCAGCGGCAGCGGCAGCGGCAGGAGGAGGAGGAGGAGGAGGAGGAGGAGGAGGAGGAGGAGGAGGAGGAGAGGAGGAGGAGGAGGAGGAGGAGGAGGAGGAGGAGGAGGAGGAGGAGGAGGAGGAGGAGGAGGAGGAGGAGAGGAGGCGGAGGAGGAGGAGAGGAGGAGGAGGAGGGAGGCGGGGAGGCGGGAGGGAGGAGTAGGAGGAGGAGGAGAGGAGGGGGAGGGAGGCGGAGAGGAGGAGGAGGAGGAGGAGGAGGCGGAGGAGGAGGAGGCGGAGGAGGAGGCGGAGGAGGAGGAGGAGGAGGAGGAGGAGGAGGAGGATCCCACAGTGCTCTCTGTTCAGAACGAGCGCGCCCCACACGGGAGGGCTGGGAGCCGGAAGCGAGCGCGCGAGCACGGATTCTCGGAGGCCCGGGCGGATTCCCGGGCGCGGCCGCGGGCCCCTGCCCTGCCCGGCGCGCGGGGCGGAGGGCGCGCCGACGGGCGGCACCCGCCCGGTGCCGCGGCGGCGGGCGGCGCCGTGCCGCCTGCCTCTCCCGGCCAGGCCGGAGGCCTCGCGCGCTCGGGGTGCCGCGGGGGCTCCCGTCGGCGGAGAGCGCGGGGGGGAGCGAGAAGGGGCGGGCCTTCTCGGAAGGCTCGGAAGTACGCGGCCTTCCGAAGAGGTTTCTGAGCTCTCCCCGAAGGCGCAGGGGACCTCTCCGGAGGCGCGAGGGTCTCCGAGCAGTCCCGCCGCCTCTGAGAAGGTCTTCTCCTTCTCATTTCCCCCCCTCGCTCGCCGGCAATTCCGTGCCAGAGCGCCTTGCCTTTTTTTCAGGCCTTGCGTGCTCACGAATCCTGCAATCGATAGCGCGCGATCTATTCTAAATCTCGAGATCACGTCCGTTAAGCAACTGTGCGCGAAAGATAGTGGCAACGTGACGCTGGTTCCCGCAAGTGTTTTGATAGTAAAACGGCAGCCAGGAACTGAGAAGAAGATGGTGCGCTCGTCATGACTTGCTACCCTGCGGCCAAAAGCAGTGCCAACACGGTGCCAGATGCGGCACATCTGAACACTCGGAGTTCCGAGCGGATTTGTGTGGTCGGCTCCCAGGCCCCCACTTGCGGCGCCTCCCGCGCCGCCGCTGGCGCGGTCCACGCGCCAGCGAGGGGGTCTGGCACCGGTCCCAGAATCTCGCTCGGACCTCAACGTGTACGGCATGCTCGCGTCGTGTCGACCGGCGGCGACCTTGCCGCCGGTGTTCAACGTTTGGCACCGCTGGCGACCGAGAATCGGCAGATGATGAACAATCGGACGTTTCGGAAACGGCCGATCGTTCAAGCTTGAACGATCCCCGCGGTGTCAGGAACCAACGCCGGGGTG